TATTATGGTTATATTTTCATGTTCAATTGATCCTTTAATCATTATATAATGTCCTTCTTTGTCTCGTATGGTGGTTTTTGTCTTAAAGTCAATTTGACCAGAAATTAGTATTGCCACTCCTGCTCTCTTACAGTTGCCATTTGCTTGATATATTTTAAAGATATTTTAACATTTATGAAATTGAGATACATCTCATAATTGATGGCAATCTGTAATTTAATGAAATACTGTCATACTCTCAGCATGAATAAAACTTCATGAAAAGAGAATGCTGAATGTCCTTTTTATTACACTAGAATGTTAAAAACAAACAAAAAACAAACAAGTGGTTCTGGAAGTTAGGTCACCTCACAAAAGCTATCAATTCCATCATGCACCACTCAAGGGAATCCAACAAAGAAGTCATACAGGCATTATGCCAACTGACTACACAAAAGTGCTCTGGGAATACGACTTCTTTGCAAATCAGTACCAACTTTACAGTAATTTTCTACCACTTGGGAGTCCTGAGGCAGTAGAGAACTTCAGTGTCAAACAGAAATACCAAGAATTTGATGGTTTCCTGGCCTTACCGTGTTTCTATTTTGTTAACAATAGATAAGCCTTCTTGCAATCAGGGTATGTAAGAACTTTGGTTGTGTGTAAGAGAAAGAATTCAGAAGAAAAAACATCGTTCAGGCTGTGTGTATAAACACACACATACATATACATACACACACACAGTATTATATATCCCTGAAGGGCTATCAAGTGCAAAGCGTGATAACACTGGATGATTGCATAGATACTGCAAGAAATCTTTTCACTGAGGAAGTGACTGCCTTGTAATTATAGCTGACTTTAGTGTGGTTTTGTGGCTTTGAATCACTTTGCATACGCCACTAAGGTTACTGGTTTTCAGTAGGGTGCTGCTACGAATAGTAAAACGCCAAAAGCACTGCTCTGGAGTTAATAAGATACACAGATTTAGATCCTGTTTTCTAGGCATTCACTATTTAGTTGAGGAGAACAATACAAACTACTCATTTTACTATATTCTAGGTGCTATAACACATCCAAAATGCTGTGGGAACAAGAGTCTAGCAGATGTGGAAAACACAAGAGGAGAAGAAGTAACATCTAAATTAAGATTTTGAAAGTCAAAAAGAACTTTGACAAGAGGTGGGGCATTCCAGGCAGAGCTATCAGGCATAAGAACATGAATGAATATCTAAGTTTCACTATCTCCCCCTGCTCATCCCCCTCCCCCCAAAAAGGATGATTCCACTAGAGAATGAAAAAATTCCAAGGAAAAAGCAACAAGGATCATTAATGTTCCCAAAGGACCACGTGTTTAATATACTGCCAGAATAAACTAGATACATCTACACAGTCTCTCGTGCTTCTGTGCATTCACGTGGGTTTCTAAAATGTCATAAAATGTATTACCTACTAAGCAGTCTTTAGTGATTACAGGGTGGAAATCTGTTTCCTATATAACCCATAAATACCTTTTAAATATTTAAAAACTAGAATAAACAGTTATACCCCTTTCAACCAAGGTATTTACAGAAGCCTGATTTGCTAATTCTTGAAATTCAATGGAGGGATAACTAGAGAGGTCACCTGATAGGACTTTTTGGAAGAATTCTTGTAGCACTAGCAGTTACTTTATTTTTTTTCTTAAATTTTGTTGTTGTTATTGTTGAGAATATACACAGCAAAATATACACCAATTCAGCGGGTTCTACACATACAATTCAGTGATACTGATTACATTTTTTGAGTTGTGTAACCATTCTCACTCTCTTTTTCTGAACTGTACCTCCTCCATTACCATTAAACTCACTGCCCCCTAAGGTTCCTATCTAATCATTTCAGTTACTGTTGTCAATTTGATCTCATATAGATAGTTCTTAAAAGAGCACTGTTCTGGTTTTCTAGTGCTGCCATAACAGAAATACCACATGTTAATGGCTTTAACAAACAGGCATTCTTTCTTTTACAGTTTAGGAGGCTAGAAGTCTGAGTTCAAAGTGTCAGCTCTTTGAAGCCGGTGAAGGCCCCTTGACATAGCACTTATTTCAGTACTTCTTAAACTCTTGACCTGAAGTATAAACAGAGGAATGTGAACACACAACCCCATGCCTAGGGAGACCCAGAAATAGCCCAAGGGTCACAAACTAAAAGTTTAAGTTTCATGTCTCAACTTTCAAATACATGTAAATTTTGCATTATATTCTAGAATTTTTCTGTATTTGTTTAAATATGAAAAAAGTCTTTTACTTTTCTCTAAATCATTGAGTAAAAACTCGATGGACCACATTTATTTTGGGGCTTCACATATCTCCCTGTATACTACTGTGCACTTTTATAATAGAAGTTTGAGCTCAGCTTAATACAATATCAAGTGGCTTTGAGTTAAAAGAGAAGAATTTCCTGGAGAATTGTTTCTTGTAAGGGATTGGGTTATATATGATGGCAGAAGGGGAAATCTAACAAGTATGTCAGGAAAGAAGACAGGAAATATGGGGACATAAACAAAATCTTGTACTGATCTAGCTATACCCGCCCACTGCCGTGGAGTCAAATCTGACTCACAGTGACCCCTCCTTGGGTTTCCGAGGCAGTATCACTATGGAAGTACATTCCCCAACCTTCATTCTGAGAAGCGGCTGGTAGGTTTAAACTGCCAGCCTTCTGGTTAGCAGTCAAATGTCTTAGGCACTATACCACCAGAGTTCCCGATCCAGCTGTACATCCCTACTTAAGTCACATGCAACATTTACCAAATTCTAAAATGGGCTTAGGGTAGCCATTATTCCTGATGGGTGGGGACTGGGTCTTGTTCACTGTTGTCACTCTAACACTTACCACAATGGCCAGTACACAGATGTTCAATGAACTACAATAATAATAATAGCAGCTAACATTTATTGAGTACTTAGTATATACCAAGTACTGTTTGAAGCACTCACCACACATAATCTCATTTAATCCTCACAATAACCCTATGTGGAATCTCTTAGTATCCCATTTTACATATTAGAAAACAGAGGCGCAAAGATTTTAAAATAACTTGTCCAAAGTCACATGGCCAAAAAATAGTAAAGGTGGAATTCAAATCCAGCCAGTATGGCTCCAGGGCCTACGTGCTTAACCATTATGCAAATGAACAAGTAAATAAATGACTTGCCAGAAATGAAAAGCAAATATTTTAAGCCAGAAGACTTTCATTCCTTACAATGCAGTTTGTTGCTTCGGCTGTTGAGTGGTTCTGGTCCATTCACATCTTTGCTCTTTTCATTATCCTCAATGGGTCGGAAATGAGCCAAAGTTCTCATGAATCCACGGAAGTTTACCTGGTCCTCTCTGATTAGGAAATAGACAGAATATCATATCAATCAGGGAATATGAGTCAGGGTGATTATTTCTTATAAATTCAATAGCTTTATCTACATCAGCTGAAAGTCCACTTAAATGACATTTCCTTTTCTATTTCCTAGGTACTTTAGGACTCATAAAGGAGCTCTGGTGGCGTAGTGCTTAAGGAATTTGACTGCTAACCAGAAGGCTGGCGGTTCAAACCCACCACCCACTCTGCAGAAGGAAGATCATGCAATCTACTTCCGTAAAGATTTACTGCCTTGGAAACCCAATGGGGGTCACTATGAGTAGGAAGTAACTCGATAACAATGTTTTTTTTTTTCTTTTTTTCTTTTTTTTGAGTGGGGGTGGACTCATAAAGAGCCCTGGTGGTACAGGGGCTAAATGCACAGCTGTTATCTCAAAGGTAGGCAGTTTGGGTTCACCAGCCACTACACAGCAGTAAGATGTGGCAGTCTGCTTCCATAAAGATTTACAGCCTTGAAAAACATATGGGGTAGTTCTACTTTGCCATGAGTCAGAATCCACTCAACAGCAATGGGTTTTAGGACTCAAAGAGTCCTGGTTTGGTGCAAATGGTTAATATGCTCAGCTGTTAACCCAAAGATTGGAGGTTTGAGGCCACCCAGAAGCACTTTCAAATAAAGTTCTGGTGGTTTACTTCTGAAAAATTAGCCATTGAAAATGCTATGGAGCACTTTTCTATTTTGACACACATGAGATTTACCATGAGTCAGACATGACTCGACAGCAACTGGTACTGGTTAGGATTCATAAATATAATTTAAACCTCATCACAATCATTTCAGAAAAGTATTAATATTGCCAATTTATATATGATTAAACAGACTTAGAGAGGTAATAGGACTTAAGGGAGCCAGACTTATCTACTGAATTTACTTATATCTCATTTCCCAAAAAGGATGTGACATAGCTCTAGAGCTATACACTTCAGAGGACCAGGACTCAAACTCACTGTTTCTGACTATGCAGTAAGCACACCTAGTCCTTGCAACCCATTGACTTTTCAACCACCTCCCATATCTCCCCTGCAGAGACATATATACCTAGTGATATTTCAGGATCTCTGGTGGTGTAGTGGTAAAGACATTTGGCTACTAACCAAAAGGTCAGTGGTCCAAACCCACCAGTCACTCTATGGAAGCAAGATGAGGAAGTCTGCTTCTGTAAAGATTTACAGACTTGGAAACCCAATGGGGGTCACTATGAGTCAGAATCAACTCAATGGCAGTGAGGTTTTTTTGGAGTAATACAAAGTTAAGGCATATTACAGAAAAGTTGCTATCAAAATAAATTTAGTAATACAAGTAATAAACATATTATTGAAAATTTGGAAAAAAGAAAAATGCCACCTATAGTTCTCCCAATCAAGTACAATTTTTAAAAACTTTTATGAAGAATCTGTTCTTCAACATAAAAAAGAAAGTACTACGTGACGCAGTTAGCTATTTATCTAAGGCAGTCATAAAACAACAGGTTGCCTGGTTATTGTGACTACCTGAAACTAAACCTTAGTCTTTGTGTGCCCCTTTAGAAGCTCTAGCAAAATGACTCTACTGGCTTCGCGAACAGTTTGGATACAAAGCATAGCTGTGAAAGTTATCTTTGGACATGTTTTATTTTATCTCCGCAGGGGTTAAAAAAGGAAGCAGAGAAAGGAAGAATTCAGCACAAAACACCTGAAATAAACAGGGCAGTTCAGAGAGAGAGAAAGGGGGAAATGAGTGAGGGTACAAAGATGAACTCATGGTCAACACAAAACTAAAGTGAGCAGAACTTGGCTGCTAATCAAAAGGTCTGTAGTTCAAACCCACCAGCTGCCCCTTGGGAGAAAGATATAGTAGTTAGTTTCTATAAAGATTACAGTCTTGGAAACCATATGGAGCAATTCTATTCTGTCCTATAGGGTTGCTATGAGTCAGAATCAACTCAACAGTAACATGTTTGGTTTTGGTTTTTGTGTGTGTGCCCCATTGAACAGACACACTATGAGGGGTCCCTTAAGTCCCAGGTAAACACATATTTATTAAGTGTCAAGTAGAAACATTCTAAAGGTAGAGCTCAAAGGTTAGCTTATGAGCTCACTAAAAGAATGACTTAGTTCTTCAAGGTTGTTAGTTATATTACTAGTGGTATACTATCTGGTAAAAATATGAGTAAGACCTCAGAAAACAAGTAATGTGGAATAAGATTTGAGACACTTTCCAGAACAAACACACTAATCAGTACATATATTAATGGCATAATTTCTCTGAGTAAAAAGTAACTCAGTGTCATTTTTAAAAATTCCACTTATAAATGCTTAAAAAGTCCTCAAAAACCCAAAAATCAGAGATCCTGGATAGAGTGGGAGAAAAATTGGCACACACATCAAAATTATAAAAAAGACCAGGCTTACTGGTCTGATAGAAACTGGTGAAACCCCCAAGACTATGGCCCCTAGTAATCTCTTGGGCCTGGAATTGAACTCACTCCTGTGGCTCAACTTTCTGGCAAACATGAGACAGGCCTACCAAGTGAACAAGGTAGGTACTCTCCTTAGAACAGTCAACCATGAGAGATCAGAAGGGCAACATTTGTTCAGCGAGAAAGCTCAGAGGGCGGGAATGCATAAAAAGAAGGAAACCGGGAAAAGGTAACCAAAGGAAGGAGGTAAGAAGAAAGCTGTTACACTGGGGCAATTACAGTCACTATCATGAAACAAAATGTATATAAACTGTTGAATGGAAAAGAAATTTGCTCTGTAAACTTCCACCCAAATCACAAGTTTAAAAAAAGAAAAATGAAACAAGACATCCAGAAGCCAAATATCCAAATTTGATCAGAGCAAGCAGCAGAGGTACAACTTTGCTAAGAGCTCAGTACAGTTAGCCCTTGGCTTCCTGATGTACACCTGCTTTGTCTCCTTTGCATTAGGTAAGTGGATAGAATAGCAGGCAATACTGGTCTCACAGCAAAAGATGAGCCTTATAAAACGAGCTTTCCATAAGCTGCTTCAAGTAATCAATAGTGACTAGGGAACCTTGAAAAAAAAAAGCTGGCAAAATGAGTCTACTGGGTTTGCAAACGGTTTGGACACAAAGCATAGCTGTGAAAGTCATCTCTGGACATGTTTCATTTTAGCTCTGCAGGGGCTAAAAGAAGACGCAGAGAGAGGAAGAATTCAGCACAAAAACACCTGAAACAAACAGGGCAGTTCAGGGAGAGAAGAAGGGAGAGATGGGAGAGATGGGGGAGGGTAAAACGAGGAACTCATGGTCAGCACAAATCTGAAGTGAGCAGGACTTAGTTTCACTCAAATCCTGTCTTTACAATAAACTGGTTACTGACGTTTTGCTATCCAAATTTACTGATTGCTCAACATCTCAACTTACAAATTTCTTTGCTCTCAACTCAGAGTTTTAAACTTTCCTCTTCAGGCATTTTACCTGATAAGAGTCCCCACTGACTGGCAGCAGAAGTACATGGTCATGCTAGAGAGCAGCCATGGTAGTAGTCAGTGTGCCATGGGTATCAGTCAGAGTATTTGCAGAGGGGATAGGGAACTTGCTTAATAGAGCAATTAGGTAAGAGGAACTAGGCCAGGGCATTTCTACTCTATATGTATTTATAAACAATATGAGTTTGCTCTGTATTGAGATTTGGGAAGCTCTTTCAATCTGTCTGTGTTTTCTGTAATTATTTTTGGTAAGTGTCCCATATCCTTAAGGAAAAGTTTCTCAGCTTTTATAATGGATTCTCTATCAACAGCTTTCAGTAGATTCCTGTGGTAGAGATAATGTTCATTTGCTTCTTCCATGGCACCCAGACAGTCAGTTTGCAACCTCTCCAGAAGTTTGGCTAATGGGATGTGGCTAGAACTAAAGTAAGATATTTTCAGGCCTGGACCTTAAATATCTCTTGGGCAATTTTCAAGTCTTATCTACTTTCCCACTGTTACCTTGGAGGCCTCATAATTCAGATGGTATAGCTAGAAGATGGTGGTGGTCTGTCTGAGCCACAAGAACTATCACAGGATTGAGAAACTTTTGTGGTCTTAAGCCACCACAATTTGAGGTTTGTCAGTTGTGGCAGCCAAGGTTAATGACTGTGATTAATACAACAAACGCACATAATGCCAGGAACTGATAAGACTAGTTGCCTATAGGGAGAGCTGGGTGGTTGAAGGGCAGTTGTGTGATGGAAAACTTTCAGGACACACCCTTTTGTAATATGCACGTATGTATACCTGTGTAGATACACCTAGACCAAGATAAAGAACATTTTTACCACCCAAGAAAGAACTCTTATACTTCTTTACAATCAATACTCACCTCCCAAAGATAAACATTATTCTGACTATTTTGATATCACTATCCATATATTTGCTTGTTCTTGAACTTTTATATAAATGGATTCATATAGTTAAAAAAAAAGTCCTCACTGACAGTCTCATTATTAAAAACTAGCACTTATATAACTTTTTGCACTAAAGTCCCTGAGGTCTATAGGCAATTCACATGGGACCAGGAAGTAACTAAGGGGATTACTTAAAACAAGATTATATGATAAGCTTTACTCACAAAAAGGTACTTAATTGAATCAATAAACATTTACTCAGTATTTTCACATAAGGAAGGCAGTTTTTTAGGTAGTGAGGCACAGCCAAAGCCTAGTTTTATATCAGACAAACTGAAATTAAGGAACAATCTATTTTTAAAAGTGTGTGTGTACGCCCTGGAGAGAACAATCATGGGAGAAGGAAGGGCTGCTTATGCACAGGGAGATAGCTCAGGGTGCAGAAGAGTATGAAGGGATGGACACTGGGAGGAGGTAACTATGGGGAGGAAGTGGGAGGGGAGCTGCTGCATTGTATGTAAATTTTGGTCAATGACATGAGACAAAGTATATGTGAACTGCTATATGAAGAGTGAATTTACTCTGTAAATCTTCACCCAAATCCTAATAATAATAAAAAAAAAAGTGTGTGTGTAGTAGGGAGAACTACATTCTTTAAAAAGGCTGTGGAAATATTACAAGTTAAAAGAGGCTAAAGAGACCTGAGAACTAAATGTAATACCCAACCTTAAGACGAATCTGAAGTAAAAGGGAAAAATGCTATCAATGATGAACTGACAAAACTGGAATACAAACAACAGATTAGAATAAAACAGATAATAGATTACTAAGTACTGTATCAATGTTACATTTAATGATGTTGATAACTGTAATATAAATATGTAAAAGAATATTCCTATTTTTAGGAAACACATACTGAAGTATTAAGGGATAAAGAGCCACTATTATGCAACTTACCCTCAAATGCTTCAGAAAAAACATTATGAGAAAAAAATACATACACATAGAATAATTTTATGAATGTGAGTATAGTGTATATATAGAGATAGAGAAAGCAAAAGTGTGTTTGCCATGCATACATGCACTATACTGCCCAATATGTCCACCATTAGTCACATGCGGCTACCTAAAATGTAGCTTGAATTGGTATGTAGATTTCAAAGACTTAATATGAAAAAAGTAATGTAAAATATCTTATTAATAATTTAAAAATATCAATTACATATTAAACTGTTTGGGATATAGTTGGTTAAATAAAATACATATTGCCAAAGTTAATTTAATCTGTTTATCTTTACCTTTTTAATTTGGCTGTATGAAAATTTATAATTACATATGCAGCTTGCATTCTATTTTTATTGGCCAGCAAGAGAAACACGGAGAAATCAGGCAGATGTATGCAAGCACAAAGATAAAGCAAATGAGGTGAAATGTTAAAATGTAACAATATAACATTAGATGTATATGGATAAAGATTTACAGATATTCTTAGTAGTATTTTTATTTCTGCAACTTTTCTGTAAGTTTGAAATTATTTCCAAATGAAAATTTTAAAAAGCCTAGTTTCATATCAAAGATAAATAGGGACTAAATATAGAATTTTGAAGATGAGCTGATATGCTCATTTGACATTTACAAACAGAGATATTCTAGATATGACAAAGTCAAGGCTGTCTAAGACAATTAAGTGGCATAAAGGTCTGAGATGACCCAATCAATGTCATTATTCCAGATCAGCAATTAATTCAGACTAAGCTACCCCCAGAAAGGAAGCCCAATAATTGCAAAGACTCACCCTTCTGGAAAGAAGGCATTGATGATACGGTCCCCCAATGGGTTGATGGCAAGTTCTGGAATTCGCTGGAAATCTTCCCGGCTGCCATGTCAAGAAGACAATCACCTGGAGTTAATGACCATTAGTCTTCAGCATGAACTTCTTCAATCTAACACAAGGCATGACCTAGCAGAATATTACCTCCTGTGGCAAGTGATACCAAATAACTGCAAAGAATAGCACTTTAATAGCTGCCAAGTATTTCTTGTACCAACTCAGGAGTGGAAGAAGCCTGATTTGACTATGCTACATTCCAGTGACTTCAGCACACAGGTTACATCAATAAGCCAACTAACAAGCAAATACTAAGCCATCCTGTAAATGATTCTGTGAATGTTACCATTTCATACGTAGTTAATAAGTGGACAGTATACAGCAAATGGAAAATATCATATACAACAGAGGTTGAATATAGAGGCAAAAATTCAGACGAGCCTCCATACTCTTAATAGGTGAATCTATTGTAGTTAGGTGTCATTGAATACGTTCCAACTCATAGCAACCCTGTGTACAACTGAACAAAACACTGCCTGGTCCTGCGCCATTCTCACAATTGTTGCTGTGTTTGAGCACCTGTGAAATATAAGGAATTCTTGGGTAATATTTACATCCAAGGAAAAGAAGAAAACATGGCAACCAAATGATTTCCATACTTTTTTCTTGAACAATTTATTGTGCTTTAGGTGAAAGTTTACACAGCAAATTAGTTTTTCAATGAATAACTCATACACAAATTGTTCTGTGACATTGGTTGCAATCCCCAAAAAGTGTCAGCACTTTCCCCCCCATTTCCTCCCTGGTTTCCCTGTTTCCATTGATCCACTTTCCCTGTCCCTCCCTGCCTTCTCATCTTTGGGTTTGGGTAAATGTCCTTTTGTTCTCCTATAGTGGATTGTTCTAAGGAGCATATTTTTCACAGGTGTTACTGTTTATTTATTTTGTGGACCTGTTATTTGGCTGAGAGGTATCCTCTAGGAGTGTTTTCAGTTTCAAGTCAGAACGTTATTTGACAGCTCAGAGGTTCCTCCTGTCTCCAGGCCAGTAAGTCTACTCCTTTTTTAAAAAATTGTTCTACATTTTTCACCCATTCAAATAGGACCTTCTCTTGTGGTCCTGGTCCATGGTGGTAGTGGTAGCTGGGCACCATTAAGTTCTTCTGGTCTCAGGTTAAAGATGGCTGTAGTTCATGTGGGCCATTAGTCCTTTGGGCTAACTGCTTCCTTAAGTCTTCACTTTTTTTCATTCTCCTTTGCTCCAAGTAGGAAGATATTAATAGTCGCTTCCTAGATGGCTGTTCACAAGCTTTTAAGACCCCAGACTGGGATGTAGAACATTATCTTTATGCCCTGTGTTTTGCCAATTGACCTAGATGTTCCCCAAGACAATAGTCCCTAGTTTTCAAGTCCAGCTGATTTCCATACCTTCTTGGTCTGGCTTGAATTTTTTCTTCAGTTCTTTCAACTTGAGAAATGCCAAGCATGTTTTTCCCTTTCAGTTTTATAACTCCAGGTGTTTGCAGATTTCATCATAATTGACTTTGTCTTCTTGAGCTGCTCTTTGAAATCTTCTGTTCAGCTCTTTTATCTTGTCATTTCTTCCATTTCCTTTAGCTACTCTCCATTCAAGAGCAAGTTTCAGAGTTTCTTTTGACATTCATTTTGGCCTTTTCTTTCTTTCTTGTCTTTTTAATGACCCTTTGCTTTCTTCATGGATGATGTTCTTGATGTCACCCCACAATTTCTCTGGTTTGTCACTGGTGTTCAATGAATCAAATCTATTCTTCAGATGGTCTGTAAATTCAGGTGGCATATAATCAAGGCCATATTTTGGCTCTTGTGATTTGTTTTAATTGTACTCAGCTTCAACTTGAACTTCTACATGAACAATTAATGGTCTGTTTCACAGTCAGCACCTGGCCTTGTTTTGGCTGAAGATACTGAGCTTCTCCATTGCCTCTTTCCACAGATGTAGTCAATCTGATATCTATGTATACCATCTGGCGAGGTCAACATGTACAGCAGCTGTTTATGTTGTGGATAAAAGGTATTTGCAGTAAGTCAGTCGTTTGCTCTTGCAAAATTCTATTATGCAATCTCCAGCATCATTTCTATCACCAAGACCACATTTTCCAACTACCAGTGATTTCTCTTTGTTTCCAACTTTCACATTCCAATCACCATTGATTAATCAATACATCTTCACTGCATGTTTGGTCAATTTCAGACTGTAGAAGTTGGTAAAAATCTTCAATTTCCTCATCTTTGGCTTTAGTGGTTAGTGTGTAAATTGGAGGAATACTAGTATCAACTGGTCTTCCTTGTAGGTGTATGGATATTACCCTATCACTGATACCACTATATTTCAGGATAGATCTTGAAACATTCTTTGTGACAATGAATTCCATGCCATTCCTTTTCAATCTGTCATTCCCGATATAGTAGATCATTTGGTTGTCTGATTCAAAATGGCTAAAACCAGCCCATTTCAGCTCACTAATGGGAGCTCTGGTAGCATAGTGGCTAAGACACTTGCCTGCTAACCAGACGGCTGGCGGTTCAAACCCACCAGCCACTCCTCGGAAGGAAGGTTGGGCAATCCTACTTCCGTAGTGATACTGCCTCGGAAACCCAAGGAGGGGTCGCTATGAGTCAGGGCTGACTCGACGGCACATAACAACAACAACAACAACAACAATGGTAGTATAGTGCCTAAAGCATTTGACTGCTAACCAGAAGGCTGGCAGTTCTAACCCACCAGCCACTCCTCAGAAGGAAGATTGGGCATCTACTTTTGTAGTGATACTGCCTCAGAAACCCTAGGAGGGGTGGTTATGAGTTGGATCCAACCCAATGGCAGTGAGTTTCTTTTTTTTTAAATGCCTAGGATATGATCTTTATGCGTTCCATTTCATTTTTGACTTCCAATTTTCCTATGTTCATATTTTGTACATTTCATGTCCTGATTATTAATGGATGTTTGCAGCTTTTTCTCCCCTTTTTGAGTGTACACCATCAGCAAATGGAGGTCCCCAAAACTTTATATATTACAGTCAACTCCACTTTGAGGAGGCAGCTCTTCCCCAGTTGTATTTTGAGTGCCTTCCAACTTGAGGGGCTCATCTTCTGGCACTGTATCAGACAATGTTTTAGGGCTATTCATAAATTTTCCCAGTAATATTATCAGGCAGTGTTTCACCGCTATTTGTAAGGTTTTCACTGTCCAATTCTTTGAAAAGTGGATGGCCCCTTCCTTCTTCTGAGTCTGTTTTAGTCTGGAAGCTCTACTGAACCAGTCCACCATGGGTGACCCTGCTGGTATTTGAAATACTGGTGGCATAGTCTACAGTCTCACAGTAACACATAAGTCACTGCAACTGACAGATGAGTGGTAGAACTTGGAGGTTATGTATTATTAAGTTACCATTCACTGCATAGGAGCTCTAGTGGCGTAGTGCCTAAGGCATTTGACTGCTAACCAGAAGGCTGGTGGTTCAAACCCACCAGCCACTCCTTGGAAGGAAGGTTAGGCAATCTACTTCCGTAGTGATATCGCCTCGGAAACACAAGGAGGGGTTGCTATGAGTCGGATCCAACTCTCACTGCATATACATTGCCTTAGTTATCTAGTGCTGATAACAGAAACACAAGTGGATGACTTAACATATAGAAATTTATTCTTTAACAGTTTAGGAAATTAGAAATCTGAATTCAGGGCACCAGCCCTAGGGGAAGACATTCTCTCTGTCTGCTCTGGGGCCAGGTTCTTGTCTCCTCTCAAAATCTGTGGCCCTGGGAGACTTCTGGTAAGATGGAGGAATAGGCAGACAAGCAACACAGACCCTCTTCAACAAAGAAAAGAAAAATCAATTGACAGAGGTACAGAAGAGGATTAGGTACCAACTAGTGGAAAAACCTGAATGAAAACAGTGAGTACAGAGAGGCTTGGAGCTGCAGACTGTCAGCTACTCTGACAGGACCAACAGCCTGAATATTTTCTAGTGGTGTTGGGACCTGAGAATTGACCTAAAGATCAAACCTGGTCACCAGGGGCTGCAGGGATGACTGCCCTGGTGGCCTATGACTAGGAAGGGTAACAGCAAGGAGGGAGACAACCTGAGCTGTTGACTTTCCACTGTCTGGAGGGTGCAGCCATTTTGACTGTTTATACACGGCAGCCATTTTGGATATTTAAAGTGACCAAGGGCACAGCCATTTTGAATCTTTACAAGTGGCAACCATTTTGGAATTTAAAGTGATAGCATTCTCATTCAGATTCCAGGAACCTAAGAATAAGCTCTGTTTGCCAAGGTCAGCAGGGACATACCAGAGACTGACAACAGGAAAGGAGACAGGTGGTGAGTGTATAAGTGCTGTCAACTAGCAAATAGAGGAGTACCCTGCTTGCGTAGATAACATATAAACAAAACAAAGAAAAAGAAAATCGTGGGCAAGTCACTTCAACATACAATCACCAATTAAATATAAACACAAAAACGTCACATGCCTTGGAGACAACAGAGCATCACAGTCCACACAAAGAAGCAAGATAAAGCAGGAGAAACAAGGGACCAGGATATAGACCCAAAGCACATCCCTGAGGAAGATGGAACACTGGAACTCCCTGATAAGGAGTTCAAAAGAATTATATTTAGGTATCTTCAGTGAATTGAGAGACAGATCAAGGAAAAACACTGACAAAATTGAGGAAAACATAGAGAAAATCCTAGAACAATTTCAAAAGACAATACAAGAACAAAATGACAAAATAAATGAAAAATTAGAAATGATACAAAATCTACACACAGAAATCCAGAAGATTACTACTAAATTTTTAGAAATAGATAAGACATTGAATGGGCAAAGGAGCAGAATTGAATCAATGGAAGACAACTGGTGAGGCTGAAGGCAAATACTTGAGCACTTCTTTGGAAAGGGATCAATCAGAAAAAAGATCAAGACAAAATGAAGAAAGCCTAAGGTTCATGTGGGATACCATCAAAAGGAATAACCTATGTGTAATCGGAATTCCAGAACAGGAAGAGA